CCCCCCCCCCCCCCCAAAGTCGTTATCATATCCTATTTCCCTTAAACTTCCCATTTTACCGATCCAGGATGTACTTGCACGTGCTGTTGCAGAAGAAATGCAGAAAGTATACCGAAATGAGCTGGGGCCTGAGCCAGTTCCCTTAACAGTCACAGGAGAAGCTATTAGTGAAGAAGATGTGAGTATTTTGATCCATAAACTTGAATTGTATTGGAATACTCTCCTCAATATAAAATATACTTTTTACTTTCAGTAACTTTTCTTGATTTAAGAGATTACATTTAATTGGTGTTTTGCAGATGTTATTTTTGGATGCTGATAATGATACTGATGACGAAACCAATTTGGACGAAATGGATGAGGATGATATTGAAAAAAGGTTTCATTTATTGGAGAATAATTGTTTTAAAGCTTGCAGATTTTTCAAGTAGTTTGGATCACTTTTCTTGGCCCTCTTATGCTAGTCTGTCCTTTAGGTGTACATAATTGATTTTCTGTATGGATCTATTAGAACTTAAAACCTGTTGTGCTTTTCCAACAGCAGGGCGATCTTTTTCGCAATTTTGAAACAATGTATTTCAAGTGTTCTTCTGTTCTTTTTCTAAAAAAGCTAAGCTTGTTACACAGGCCTTTGAGGACAAAAAGGGTGACTCGAGTTGAGTTGAATAAGAGAGCTAGAAATAAAGAACAGCGCAGAAAGGAAGCCGAATCAAAGAAGTTGAAAGGAATTTCCAAAGAGATTGACAGGTATACATCAGTATCTTTTCTCCTCCATAGTTATCAGATGTCCAATGTAACTGAACTTTCGCTCGTGTATGAAGCTTGCCGGATATCCTTCAAGAAATAGCTAAAGAGGACGAGGAGAGACAAAACAGACTTATCCGACGAACAATAGCGAAACAGGAGAGATTAAAGTCATGCCCACCTCGATTGGGGAGGCACAAGTGCGTCCTATTACACAACTCTTAAATAGTTCTGTTTAGTACTAAATTGAAAGATTAGTAATCAATCGATTTGCTGCATTTTGAATTGCACGGTGTTACTTTCAGGTTCGAGCCTGCTCCGGTTCAAGTTCTCCTATCCGAGGAAATAACTGGATCACTCCGTAAGCTGAAGGTGCAGTAATTAATTTCCATGTTCATCATTCCTGAATATACTCCTTTCTATCAAAGTAGTTGTGTTCTGAAATTTAGATGCATTGTGGTTGGTTATTTTGTATAAATGCAGGGCTGTTGCACCCTTGTGAAGGACAGGTTCAAAAGCTTAGAGAAAAGAGGAATAATTGCCCCTACTGCCAAGAAGAGCAGAAGGTTAGTAATTAGTTCTTTTCACAATCTGCTCCTTTTATGATGAAACCTTCATAACGTTCTTACGAAATTGCACTTCTTTTCGCCAGGAAATAGAAGTAGATTTGTTCGTTTGTTGAACTCGAGAACTCGAGAGACATCTATGGCGAATTCGACAGGGTAATGGTGATAGGTATAGTTTAAAGCAGCGAGGTTGAACAACATAAATACGTATCGACGCGACAGGCCTTTGAGATGTAGGTTTTTGTTTTTATTTCCTTTTATATATAGTTTCTATTGTTGAACTCGGGAACTCCAGAGACATCTATGGCGAATTCGACCGGGTAACGGTGATAGATATAGTTAAAAGCCATGAAGAGCCTTTAAATATATGGTTCCTCCTATACTGAATTGTTTTTGACTTTTCAATTTTGTGTTTACTCTGGTTTTTAATTTTATTAGCGATTGTTCTTATACATGTTGAAGTATGTAATTGATTTTTGTCGAGAAAAAAGAATTTATAATTGCTTATTATATAACATGATTTTCTTTTTTGTGATTGGTTGAACTAATTAGTGACGATTTTATGCAATATAATAATAACTAAACCAAAATTATAGATCACTGATATCAGTTTAAGTTTTTTAAGTTTAAAGACAAAAAACGGAATTAACTGATTAAAAATATTTAAAGTTAATTAAAATGTATGTATGCACATAATTTTTAAGCAATAATCAAAGTAAATGAAGAAATGAATAATAATTTTATAAAACAAATGGATTATATTATTGAAATTTTCAGTTTTAAGTATAGATAAATTATTATTGAAATTAGATGATAATATTGAAATAAAAAAGATATATTAAATTAATTACTGATTAACAATATTATATTTATAATCTCCATTCAAATTTATCTGAAATTGAGTCATTTCATACTTCGGCCCAAAACCCAAAGCCATAAATTTGTTTAGCGGCGGAGTGAGTTGCAGTTCACAAACGGAGTCGACCCACACTGCCGGAGCCGGCGGCTGATTCTGCACCATGCGCATAATTGTATCGAAGCTCACCGCCGTAAAATTCTGCTCTCTCTCTCTCTCTCTCTCTCTCTCTCGAGCTTTCTGTTTTCAGAAATTTCCTCCATGGTTTTTCCCCTTACTTGCATTAGTTTCAGCATCTCTGCAGAAGGGAACCTGCGCGGACCCTGCAATTTCGCCCTTTTTCAGCGTACGACGAACGTGGTAAATCTTGTTTGAAATTATCGATCTCTCTTTTTGTTAGCTGAAGGGACGGATTGTTTTGGCTGCTCAGATGATGCATATAAAATGGAATTTAAGGGTTTATTTTTTCGTTTGATGCCTATTCGATGATATCGTTGCCTTTTTCTGTTTGGATATTGGAATCCGGTTGCTTGTATCGAAAAGAAATTAATCCCATAGTGCTCTAAGCAGGGATTAAAGCATTATTGACGGGAATGCTAGTCCCTTAATTTTATGGATGTTGACATAAATAAGCTGTCAATCTTATTGTTGATCTTTCTTTTTCTTTTTTTCATCGATATTTGTATAGTATGTTAGCAATATTGGTTGATCTCTAATACCAATTGCTGAACCTTTGATTATGATAGTATCAATGGAAATATTATTATGTTGATGGATATTCTATTACTTGGTTCTAACAACGAAGTGTTAGGGGACAGTACGCTTTTAGTCTTATTTTCATATGTTCATTTATCTGTGGCCTTTGTTTTACTCTTTGATCCAACAGGAATGTTTGCAATCTGTGTAAAAGTAAATAAATGAGTTCCATACTTATTGTCATTGTTGTTGAATGCCTGATTGAGATTGAGTTAATTTCAGAGATCGAGAAGGAGGCTGAAAGAAAAGTAGGATGGTTATTAAAACTAATCTTTGCTGGGACTGCCACATTTCTGGGTTACCACATTTTTCCATACATGGGTCAGAAAATTATATCTCTAAGTTACTTTTGATTTCTTTGGATGTTAAATGTTTGTAGTTTCAATCCTTTCAGGGTGTAATCTTGAGTTAAACTTGTTCTTATAGGGGATAACTTGTTGCAGCAATCTGTTTCCCTCTTGCAAGTCAAGGATCCACTGTTTAAGAGGATGGGAGCATCGAGATTGGCTCGCTTTTCGATTGATGGTATCTCCTCACCTTTTCCCCTCCTGAATTGTTTAAGGCTTTTAACTATTGATGGTAAAACTTGTCTCAAACTCTGCCCTTACTAAAAGGATTTGTTCTATTGATTGTATAGATTGTGTAACTGTAAGTTCTAGATACTTGTCTCAAACTTTTCTATCGTGTTGAAACTTTGTCGTGGGGCATATAATCCCTTGCCTGCTGTCTTGCTGCAGTAAATCTTGTTAGCCCATCATATTTTTTCTCACCAGGATTCTAAGAAATTGTTTTAAGACCTTTTATTGAGATTCTGTAATCATGATATCGACGTAAATACGTATACTAATAGCTAACGAAGGTTTTCGAACTAATGATGAAGCTCCTTTGCTCCGCTAACTTAGAAAAGGGTAAAATAAGAATGTTAGCAGGCTAAATTGCTGGGTCAGAAACTTCCAACTGCATTGGACAATAAAAGAAGCATCTTTCAAGAACGGATTTTAGATTTGCATTCTTTCTACTTTAGCAGCCTGACTCTTAACTGAAAAAACATCTTGTGAGATCCCACATTAGATGGAGAGGGGAACGAGAAACATTTTTTATAAGGGTGTGAAAATCTCTCACTAGCAGACACGTTTTAAAAACCTTGAGGGAACACCCGAAAAGATTGTCCAAAGATACAATATCTGCTAGTGGTGGGCTTGGACAGTCTGGTTTTTAGTTTTATGCACTTTTATTGGTAACTTCTCTGGTCAGGGCAAGCCTGTTGAATTTATTGCTGAGATCTGATTATCACTTCTTCTTTTTTTTTCTTTATTTGCAACTACAGATGAAAAAAGGATGAAAATAGTGGAGATCGGTGGGGCTCAGGAGCTCTTAAACATGCTTGGGGCTGCCAAAGACGACCGTACACGTAAGGAAGCTTTGAAGGCTTTACATGCCATCTCACATTCAGGTTCAAATTCTAATCTCCACAGATACTTCTTTAATTTATTATCTACGCTTTAGTTTCGATCTTATTAACCTAGGAGTTGGGTGCATAAACATGTAACACATCTGGATTTCTGGTGTTCTGTAGAACGATACGTCCTTGATCTTGAAACTACACAATAATTTAGATCTTCCTTGTATGTCTAGAAACTGCGACGACATAGGTGGTTCTACATCCATTTTGAAACGCTCGTTTTTCATATTTAATTTTCCAGATGAAGCTGTTGGTGCTTTGCATAAAGCAGGGGCGATCTTGGTTATTAAATCGACCCCGGATTCAGCCGAAGATACGCAAGTAAACGAGTACAAGTCAAACCTAATGAAGAGATTTAGAGATCTTAGCTATGATGTTTCATCTTGAAGGAGATGGGGTGTCTTACATTTGCGAGATCGGTTGTTTCCACTCAAAATACTTTAACCATGTTAGAGATGTTGGGAAGGATTGAGATGTTGAGACCAGTTTTTTTTATGCTTTTTAAGATTAAAATCAAGGCTTCTTCCTTACAGAGAATGTATAGTAGAGCCAACCCAATTATTGAACAAATTTCTCAAAATTTACAATTTTTTTAAATATCGAGTCTCAGTGTTCTCTCGAGTCCCATTGTTGTTCTTAGCATATCGAATAAAATTTTAAGGGTGTTATGAACTCCTTAGATTTAATTTTAGATTTAGACTCATTCTTCTTTTGCTCACAATTCAATTATGCAAAAATTCACTCACAATTCAATTATGCATCATTGAACGTACAAAATTTAACTTAAAACATGAAAGAAGAAGAAAGAAAGATACTTACAAACTCTACAACAAATCATAATCTCCAAAAAAAAAAAATTCATGGTAACGAATTCTCACTTTTCCGTGAATTATGTATGTTTATAGAAATGGCAATAATGCTCGTTGTTACTGCTAGAATTATCATTACTGTAGCAACTACCTTATCCTTTTTCGTTGATATTCCATTCACATCCCTGCACGCCCCAACAAATTTGAGTTAAAAATTAACTCAAAAGCTTGATGTTCTTATGTTGACATGTATGAGTTTATAAAAAGAACACTCAGAATATATATTCAACTCGGCTGAGATTATTTTCAGTTTAAGGAAGTACCTGAGGGCGATGGCACCGGGGAAGATGAAGGCAAGGCAAGTAGCTGAAGTGGAGCCCATGAACTGAAAGATATACCATATGTTTGGGAATGCAATTGCAGCCAAGGAGGAGAACACCAACAAGGGCATTGTAATGGCTACAAACCTTGTTCTATCTGTGCCCAACGGAGCCTTCTTTGGGAACAGAAATTCATTTATATTCAACCTCAGTGGGAAGTTTTGCAAGGGGAAGACCAACATCAGATGAACTGCATAGCTTAATCTCACCACATCATTCAACACAGCCCCGCCTGCATCACCACTCTCATCAAAGTTCATCAAAATGTCTGACATTAACGACTCTCCAAACAGTAAGTACCCAAAAATTCCGATCGCAAAGTAGATAACAGCGCAGAGAACAAGCGCGATCCGAACAGCAATGATCATATTTGATGGCTTTGCGAGCTCAGAACTTATTGGATGGACTGTATGATTGTCAAAAAAAAAAAAAAAAAAAAAAAAAAAATTATCAAACAAATACGAGTACTATCATTTAATAAGAATCAAAATATTGATTAATAGGCAGAACAAATCAATAAATGAATATGGAGCCTAAAAAATTGTAGATATTTTTTAGTGATTCTCAACCTTACAAAAAAAAAAAAATCAAAACTATTGAAACAATTCTCACTAACGGGGTAACGAATTAAAACCAGCAAAATTAATTATACTAATTCAAAGAAAAGTAAATCAATTGGGTCGACGAACATTAAAGATTAATCAGTAACTTTAATATTTTTTATAAATATTCATCAAGGTATTAATATTTTACAATATACTCGCTGATATAATCATAAGCATGGAAAGAATATTTTAATCCTGGTGAGTATATGTCCATCCCAAACGAAATTCTACGTTTATTTTTGGGGAGATTGAGGCAAAAATTTCTCGAAAATTATCTAATTTTTATATTTTTTAATGATTAATTTTTATTAAAAATGGTACATTCTAATAAATTTAATAATATTTTACAAAAATATATATATATATATAAACCCTCAAATTTCAATAAAATAGAGTTTTTTAAACTTTTAAAAAATATATTAATTTATTTACGAAATAAATAAATATATAATATAAAATATGAGTGGAGAAAGGACAAATAATCCCGGCCTACACGATGTCGGTTCGGTTCAATACAAATCCGAACCGAACCCAAACCAATCAGTAAATGAGTAAGGTTGGATGTTATTGCGTACCATTGAAATGGAAAGTGAAGGCTGTGACGATAACTGGTACAGCTGTGAAAAGGTCGAAGACGGAGGTGTTCTTGTCCAGCTTCGGTATCAATCTGGCGCTCTTCGTTTTCCCATGAACGATCGCCATGATCGCCATTACAGAGCTTATTCCAACGAAAACGACGGCCAGAACAACGGATATGAACGAACTGAATCTCAGAGAATCTGAAACACAACGCAGAATCCAAAACGATCGCCATTAAAACAATCATAAATTCATCAGTTTAATTGATTCGATGGTTTCCGGCTACTGACCGACTCGTCGGAAAAGAACCAGAGGAAGCAGAATGAAGACGGCGGTGAAAAGGATCGAGAACTCTCTCGCGTTCCACCATTGATCACCGAACCATTCTTGCAATACTCCTAAATGCATTTTTTCCCCTTCCTTATTTCCGGATAACACGTCCCCTGGAAATTCCACAGAACAAAACCAGAGATCAATCGATTAGGAGAATCAATCGGAAAAATTAATCTCAAAAAGAAAAATGAGAGAATCGAAAACGATTAGCGATTCAATTCCATGGCTCATGATTGCTACGCCAATCGAACATAATGAAGAATTTCTAATTCGTGCACTAATTTCTGCATAGAAAACAAGTGAAATCAACGAGCGATTGAGAACTCCATGTCCGATAAAACAAACCTATTATAATCTGGTATATGATCAAGCCACCAAGATTGGTAATCATGACACAAACTTGAGTAGCAATCGAACCAATCGAGCCGAACGACTCCTTCATCACGCCGGCGTACGTCGTCGAGTTGCCGTAATGAGTGAATCTGACCAAAATCTCCACAGAAATGTCTGTCAAGAAAGCGACGAACGCGATCAGGAGGAGGGCGGGGATAATGCCGAGGATCTTAAGAGCGAAGGGAATCGACATGATTCCAGCGCCAATTATGCTGGTCGAGACGTTGAACACGGCGCCGGAGACCGACGCAGTCCTCGGAGAGGACCTCAACCCCGGCAGTAGAGGTACGTATTCCGGCGACATCCCGGCGACAAGTCGATGATGAACCGGAGAGAAAAACGCCGAAAGAGAAGGAAAAGAAGAAGACGGAGGAGGAGGGCAAATATGTCAAATCTCCTGCGACGTAGGGTGTGGCTATTATATTCTAAGGAGTTATTTTTTAAAACTTTAAAAATATATTCAGTTTCATCTAAAAAAAGTTTAATCTATTAATTAAAACTTTTAAAATTAAAGAGTATTTTTATTAATTTAATTTTTAAAATATATTAAAAAAATATAACATTTAAACAAAAACCAATAATATTTAAAGAGAGAGATGTACGAGGGCGAGATGATGGGTTGATGCTTGCCATTTGCAAAATGATTAATAGTTTTTTTTTTTTTAATATATTTTAAATTTTAAATAAAAACAATTTTTTTTTTAACTAAATTAATATTAAAAAGAGAGAGAGAGGGAGATGTATGAGGCCAAGATGATGGATAGATGCTTTGTTAATACTTTATTATTATTTTAATATATTTATTATTATTTTTAATTGAAATTAAAATTTGTTAATACTTTTTCTCCTACAATTATTCCCCCTAATAATTTGGTTACCATAATTAAATCACATTCATTAATACTAATTTACCAAAATGATTTTTACATTCTCAAAATAATTTTAACTAATTTATTATTTATCTTACATTTGAGGTCGTTGAAATTAATAAACGATTTTAATAAATTTATATAAATTTTTAATAGTAAATATTATATTTGTATATAATGGAAAAAATTATATAAATGAAATAATTTATTAATAAAATACTAAATCTACCTTTAATTTTAATTTTATTTTCATTTACTAATAAATATAGTATAAATAATATGCATTAAATAGGTTGTAAGTTTGTTTAGCCATTCCTATTAATAATTTTTTTAAATAAATAATTTTTAGTAAAATTATATACAAAAAATATTAATTGTAATTAGTATACTCATCAAATTTAATAATTAACTATAATACAAAAGTTAAATAGTGAAGTAAATAAAAATATGATAATAATAATAATAAATTGAATAAAATTACTGAGATTAATATTTTAAAAAAATTTAGAGGTTAAATGAAAAAGGTGGAAAAGGAAAAGGGAGCTGGTAATGCTTTCCTCTCAAATGAAATGTTTTTGTAAATCCATGAGCAAGCCTGCGATCTGGAGAGGCCAAAAGCGGCGGTTCACAATCCCATCGGCTCAACAATCCTTTGTTTGATGGCAAAATCGTTTCCATTGGCGTCTCGCCTTCAACAATTCGCCAAGGTCGTCGTCTCCTCCAAAAAGCCCCAATCACCCACGGCCAGGCAGAAGCCCAAGATCCGAGTTTCGCCGCCTGAAACTCCGATCTCCGATTCGGTCCGAGTCATCTCGGAACCGGCGCAGCCGAAGAAGAATATGGAGGTGAAGAATCGAATTCCGTTGGCCGATGTGGTGTCGGACTGCGCCAAACGGTGGTTCCAGGACACGCTCAAGGAGGCAAACGCCGGCGATACGGCAATGCAGGTCTTGGTAGGGCAAATGTTTTGCTCTGGCTATGGAGTTCCCAAGGACACTCGGAAGGTTTGCTTTTCGTTTTGATTTCTACATTTTGAGTATTCGTGTTGATTTCTTGTGGATGAATGGATTTGGGGAACTAGAGACAATTTTTGTGCGATTTGAGAGGAACCTTGAAGGATTGTGATTATATTTCGGTTAATCTGTTGGTTAAGAGAATGTAGGTTCTTACTGGATTAAGTTCATTCAGGAATTCCATTCACTTAGTGGGTGTATTTTAGAGCTGCTGAGATTATTCTATAGGTTGTATTGTTCGATATTGAATCGAGATTGGGGGAGGCTCTTTAATGGGCATTGTTCTATGCTATTACGTAATTTTTGGCTTGGGAGAAACAAGAAGCCTTTCAAGGTGTTTGACTCTAAAGGTTTTGCCTCTTATTCTTTATAACTAGAGTCATTTTTGCTGATACAGCCATACCTCAACTAGTTAAGGCATATATTATTCACCTATAAGTTAGCGGTTTAAATCCCCACACCCACATATTGTTGAACCAAAATATAAATAGAGTCGTTTTTATGATCAACTTCCTTTTGTAGTACCCTACCCAGGGGAAGTCGAATCCTTGTTGCCTCCTTGAAAGAGACATTGAATCCTTGTTGCCTCCTTGAAGGAGAGATGTCTTAAACTACTAGACGATAGGGGCATACTTGCCTGACTGCCCCAACACTTCTTTCTGTGGTGATTTTTTCTTTACTTTTTCCCACAACAGTTCATATAGTGTCCTGATTTTCAGAATCCCTCTTGAATATATAAATTAAATTTCTCTAGAGGAAAAAGTAATATCATTCTAATGTTTAAATGAATGTTGGGTTTCTGAATTAAGGGGCTTGCTTGGATCAATCGAGCTTCGAAATATCAGGCATCAGTTTGGAAAGCAAGCGATAGACATCCAGGTATTCCAGTCCTCCACGTAGTCAGTTGAGATAGTAATCTTTTCGAATTGCTTCCTAAGTTTTCCAAACTTTTTGTTGTTCCTTAGCTTACTTAGCCACCGATTCGGAATCAAGTGATAGGAGGGTCAAACGAGATGACATCAGACGATCCTTTTCACAACTTCACTAATCCAAGTAAGTTGTTCTGAATTCTATCCTTTATGGAATAGAGTTGGACTCTTTATATGGTTCTAATTCACATTTGTGTAATTTAGTATAAAATACAATAAGTTTTGTGTTTCTCAGTCTGCTGAGATTGATCTCTTTCATTTGTATATAGTTTTTATGTTTTTGGTCTATTATCTACCTATTATTCCTATTTAAGCATAGTTCGGATTTTAGGACTATAACATTTTTGGTTGAAATCCCATATTAGTACCTGACCTTTTAAATTTATTCCATTTTTGTGCTGATATTTTGCCATATAGTTTATAAGATAGACGAGTATCTTTGTAGACGTGTATTAACGGGCTTACTTGGGCAAGTATTTGTCGGAGCTGATATTAGTAACTACGGTAGGGTGCCCGAGCCCCGTGTTTTTTGTCTATAAGAAAATTGCTAGCAACTTATCTTAAGGCTGCAAAGAGAGACCATTTCTACTCTAATTAGGAGATTCTTCAGAAGATAGTTATGTGTAATAACATAATTGTAATTTGGGATAAGCTTCGAATCAGTTTTTTCATATTTCATATTGTTTCCTAATTTATGTCATTCATTTTTGCAGTTAGTAATCCCGTTCACTGCCAAGTTCACAATCAAAATGGGGTGTCTTTTCTCTGTGTGGGCATGTAAAGCTTATGGTTATCCATTGTATTCTACCTTTCCTCATGCTCATGCTGTAGTGGCTGATTAAACTTTAAAAGTGAATGATATGGTCTTACAAAGTATAACAATAATCTATTTCTTGTCAAATTTTCTGTTACAAATTTACAAGCAATGTTGAAGATGTTGATAAATACTAAAGACAGAAGAAACCTTGTTCGGGTTGGTTTTGGGTCTCCTTCCTCTTCTTCTTGGTAGAGACTTGAAATAAATTGTGTATACTATTTCCCTTCACGCTTTCCCTTTCTCCATTCCCATGGCTGCTCTGGGTTTCTAGAAGCCCACAACCCTATCCTTTTAGCTCGAGCTTCATTTTCCCACTGTTATGAATCATGAATTAGAATCCATTAGAAATTTAGAATTGAGTAAAGTGATCATGTAAAGTAGCATACACGTAACACTTTCCCTCTGTTAAAACTGTTTGTAAACTTGAATGTGACAATATCTGTCTGAATTGTAATTCTTTTTTCCAAAATGTTGAGGTGGATGTGAAATTGATTTATAATTGGTACGTTTATAAAACATAATATATATTTTATTCATTTAAAACATACATGCCATCAAAGGCAGAGGCAAGTTAAGTATATTTAACTATCACGTTAGCATTTCAAATTTCAGAATTAATTACAAATCTAGTTCAAACTTTAGGGACCAAACAGAAGTTTAATTTAAATCTCAAGGATCAGAAGTGTTACTTGAAGTTTATGGGATGTAAGTTTAACGAATGAAATAAAAATGTAACGCACCTTTGCCAGCTCTGCTCGTTTGTCATAGGCAGTGTAATGCCACGCAAAGCCCTTTTTCAGCATTGCTTCCTGTAGAGAGAACCAAAAACTTATTCTTACATAACCAGAAACATGAACCCATATGATCCATCGAGGAAAGTGGAAATTGTGTAATTAGTGTTACCTGAATAAACTTTCCATTACAATACAAGTCACCCACACATCGGTTATACCGATCTTCTCCGTACACAAGTACTCTTAAACACTTGCCTTCAACAAGCTTTCTCAGCTCTTCTTTTGCCTCTTTCCCATAAGGCATTGCGCTTTCTGGTGCATCTATTCCTCTGCATTATCAAAGTTCAACTAAGCCTAAGGGTCAATGGAGTTTGGAAATCGTTCAAGTATGGAACAATCACTATTTTTATTCAGGTTTAAATCGTATTTTGATTTTGTGCTCTTGAAAACTGAATATTTAGTCTATTTGCAAATCCTGGATTCTATGCACAATAATCATCATCTAATAAAAGTTAAAAGAGAGTATTTCTAGTAAATTTGGAATGTAGTGTTTTGCTATGAAATTGAGATGAAAAAAAAATATGAGAAAATATAAATGTGTGAACTTCTAAATAGTATAAAGACTAAAATAGACATTTTAAAATTAGATGAATCAAAATAGACCAAAAGTTGAAAGTACAAATCCTAAAATAAACAATTTGTAATTGTATACACGAAAATGAAAGAAAAAAAACTAATTTTAATTACCTGAGACGAATCCTGTATTTTCTTGCAAGAATCTCCTCATTCTGAACAGTAAGCACCCTTTTGTGGGAGAAGAAACAGGTATCAAATCCCACTAACTTATGGAAAAATCAAAGTGTATGTATGCAGTAGACCAGAGATATAATTTACCTGTAACCAGCATCAGTTATTGTCTTGTGAAGTGCATCAGCCTTTGCGTAGTTCTTGGCGTTTCTAGCTTGTGATCTTTGAATGGCTGCGTTCCTAACCTCCATTGGAATACAAGAGGACTCTCTAGGGTGTGCTGTACTCACATACACTGTCACTGTATCACCATCTGCTACAGCTTTTGCATCGACCTGATATGAATTCAACATTGAGAAATGAGAACACCTGTTGTGAACAAAATGGTTGGTCATTTCCCATAAAAGCATCCTTCTCACTTACTGGCAATGTCTGCAGCTCAAACTTGACTCCATCTGGTAGCGATGTAGGCACTGGGGCCGGAGCAGAAAGTTCGACAAGAGTATGAGGAAGAGGTAGACCATAGAAAGCCAATAATCCCTGTTGAACAACAGAAATAAAAACAAAGAACTTAGATTGAGTGTGTTTGACATTCCTTTTAAAATGCTAATGGAGGACTAAAATTGTTGTTGTATTTTTTTTTTTTTTTTTTAACTTATAGCTTGATTTTGCAAGAACAAAAGTGGTTAAGAAGTTTTAAAAATGAAAAGAAAGTACTTAAATGCTTTTAAAGGAAGCATTTAACTATTTTTTAAAAACATAAACGTTCTTGAAAACACTATTTTCAAAAAGTAATTTGACACTTTTCAAAAAGTAATCTGTTTTCCATTTCAGTTCATCAGATCCAACCCCACTGGATTTTGGACTGTTCTACACAAGCCATCTAGCTAAGTCCCCATGGATCTGATTTCTCTCTCCTAAAAATTTGAATTCGAAATGGAAAGAACAACGCATTTCCTTATTATCATCAGAGCTGCTCATATTTGACAGAATGAACTTTGACTCTTATCAATTGAACTATTTAACCTGCAGAGATTCCCAGTTTACCAATCCAACAAAACAAGCAAGAGAATTCCTATTTGTACCTCGACATCTTTCTTCTGGTGTCTCTTGAGTGTCTGAATCACAAGCCTGGATGCTTCTTCAGGCGTTTTAGGAGGTGGTTTCTCCGACCTCCAAGCTTCAGCCAGTTTTCTATACCTTCACACACACACAGATCATCACAAACAATCAGAATCTCTCCACTCTGTAACTACAATTACTTTCACAAATCTCCACTATGTAACCAAACAATCAGAAATACTTTACCAATTCGCCTGTGCCTTCTTCGACGAAACCACATGCTTACTAAGTCCTTGAGGAACCTTTCAAAAATTCATCAAATCAAAATCATCAATACCAAAGCATAGATCGTTTGAACAACAAACTTCACTAGATCACCAGACAGAATCCGATTCAAAATTCAATCAACCAGAAATGCAGCTCGAGATGAGCTTCAGATTGAGAACATACCTGCGAGGTGATCTCGAAATCAAAGAGATCGTGAGCTAGAGCCGAGACGCCGACGGTGGCCGGCGAGACGCCATGAGGACCGAGGGAATCGGCGTCGGCGGCAGCATTCGGATTGCAGAAGTGACCGCAGAGGAACCTGAGAACGTTCCCCATTTTTTGCTGCCTTAAACAATGGCGAATCTAAGGTAATGAAATGGTTTGATAAATTGGACTGAAAATTTCTTAACACTCACGCAAGACCTTGACGACTTTTTTTTTTTTTTTTTTTTTTTTTTTTTTTTTTTTTTTTTTTTTGCAACTTTAGTGAGAGTNAAGGAAGACACGTGGATGGCTATGATTCGCTGAAACGACTCGGAATTCAGTGTTGATTTTTAACCATCCAAATCAGACCAGAATTGCCATTAACAGATCAGGTTTTGAACTAATGAAATTTAGATATTTTGTTAATAAATTTTAGCAACTTTTATGGTTAGATTTTTTAATATTTTATTATTAGGTGTGCATTTTCTGAAAAATAATTTTGAGTATGGTACATTAATTTTTCGATCCTTGAAAATATTTCAAAAACGAAATAAAAAATATATTCGCCAGTGGATGCATTTTTTTTTTTCGATCCTTGAAAATATTTCAAAAACGAAATAAAAAATATATTCGCCAGTGGATGCATTTTTTTTTTTATCTGTAATTGAATGTAATTTTATTTTACAAAACGAGCACGATAATTTGGGCATAGAGTAAGGCCAACCTAAGACGACCCATGAGAGGAGTATAACCTCAATGTAAAGTGCTCAACTGCATAGAGTAAGGCCAACCTAAGACGACCCATGAGAGGAGTATAACCTCAATGTAAAGTGCTCAACTCCGGAGAGGATGAGTTCGACCATAAGAAGAGGATTCTAACCTTGATGTAAAGAGTCCAACTCCCGAGATGATAAGTTTGACCCTAAGAGGAGGAGTCTAGGAGTTTAGTTGTAACAGTCAAAGCCTAAGGAAAGGTTCTACGCCCTTATAAAGAATATTTCGTTCTCTTTTCAATTGATGTGAGATTTTACAATCTACCTCGTTAGGGGCTAGCGTCCTCGTCTGCACACCGCCTCATGTCTGCCTATGGTACCATTTGTAACAGCTCAAACCCATCTCTAGTAAGTATTACTCGTTTTGGTCCATTACGTATCGTTGTCAGACTTCATAATTTTAAAATGCATCTATACACATTAGCCCTTTAGTGGGGCGGACCCACACCCATGAAAACAACAAAATTACGGAATGAGAGACTTTATTCATGTGAAAATAGATAGCAACTTAGAAGTAAAAGTGAGTATAGATTGATTTAAGGGTTTGGGAAAGTGAGCATGACATGGTAATCAACAAATTGTTTCGAACTTTTTAATTTTCCCTCCATTTCTACTGACTTCTTCAAAGCTAAGGAATTGAAATATGAAGCATCTCCTTGAATTCCAGTCTCCTGGTTTCAGTGTAGAACGTCTTGTGTTTGTTTGGCCAATACGTTAACCAAATCCAACCTCTGATCTCCCATTCCAAGGTTTTCCTTCTCGCCGCTCCGTCAATCTTCCACCAAACACTCTCTCCGTACTCATCTCCGGCGAATATGACGCCTCCCTGTCTGTTGAATGGCCGGACAGCGCTCGAGTACCGGTCTCGGAACCAAGCTCTAGGGTTTATCAGCGCAAGTTTCGATGGCTTCCTCGAGGCCACTTCTTTGCCATCGGAGCTGTCGTGGAGGTACCAGTTCAGGATTCCGGTGTTGCCATAGACGGACTGCTCGAATTTCCATGGCTTCAAGCTCGCCGTTACGGTCTCTCCGACTGCTAATTTGAGGCCTGGGTAAGGGTTTGAGGGTTCGAATCCGGCTTCTAGGGTTTTCTCGGTTCCGACTTCTATTATAGGGTTGTCTGATGATTTGCTTACTGAGACGCTCATTATATTTGTTTGTAGAGTTGGAGTGAGCTGCAAGGAGACCCGTGATGGAAAATACTTCTCTGATCCGCCGACTCCTCGTTTTGACAAGAGCATGTCGTTCACGAGCGGGATGATGTTGCACCTGTAAGAATTCGAGGTACGTTTTGAACTCCAATGCCAAAGATACGTGAGAATCTTCACTATTAATTACTTATAGCAGCATGATAGATCAGTATCGGAATCGTTTATTTTTCTAGAATTTGCCTTTGTGTCTTAGTCCTTACTTTTAGTGCAATAGAGAAGAAGTTTAAACTCAATTGTGGAAGATGCGTGAGAATCCTTAACATCGATTACTTCTGATAGCTTGAAAGATCAGTTTGGAATCAATTTTGCAAGAATTTATCCTTCTTGTTCGTTACGTCGAGTGTGTGAGAGAGAAAAAATTCGTTCTTAGCAGCACAGAAGTTAGCTTCGAAGTTCAACATACCTTATGTTGTCAACGTGAACTCTCAGATTAATCCACTTTTCTCGAACCTCAGCCTTGTAATTGAACTGCAGAACCCCTTCTAGCTGGTGATAATTTAGAGAGAGTTGCAATCTTTCATCAGTCGAAGGATTGCGTGAGTTCTCAATGCAATCCATTGCAATGACAGGGCAATAGAGTTGAACTTTCCACAATCCATGTGTTGAAAATGAATAAGAGAACAAAGGTGAGGGTGTTTTGAGCATGCAGCTGTTGGCTTTGAGCTCGACTATCCAGTTGGTAATTGCAAGGTTTATGGACCTCATCCATTGCTCTTCTATATTAGACCCCAACAGTTTCATGAGCATCTTTGATGCCTGTCTTGACTGAAAATTGGTTAAATGATACTTGAGAGTTGTCAGACAATCCAAACGCAGAGCGGTCGGAGCTTCATAAATGCAAATGAGGAATAGAAGGTTAAGAAATGTAACATTGAAAATTTCTTTTGGGTTGAAAGTAATGTTGAGTTTGAGGAAACCAAAGCTAAAATTCTTTTGCTGGTCTGAGCCATAATGAAGAACATCGCGAATACAATTAAGCAAGAGACTGGATATGCTTTCTTGGTCATCTAATAAATTTGAGGATTTGGTGCTGGTCTTTAAGGGCTCTGAACTCCAAAGAGAGATAGGAAGGCTAAAATCTGCGATAACCGATAAAGTAATGGTTGCGGAATGAAGGCTTTTGGCTGCAACAACATTGAGGGAGGAGTTGCTTGAGCTTGAAGAGCATATGGATGTAGAAATGGAAGTTGTTTTCCATTGAGAAAGTGGTGGTAGGTTCTGTATCCAGGAATAAACATCAGGAAAGCTACAAGGAGCCATGCAGTAAGTTAGCAAGATTGAACTCCTTTTCTTCTCTGTGGGGGTAGATGTTATTTTCTTCTATATTTATAGACTCTTTGATGAATGGAATTTGAGTAAAGCAAAGTTTCTAGAACGTGGAAAAGTCATCTGGAAAAGTGATCCATTGGCATCAAGAAAGAAGAGAGAAAAGGTAAAGAACACGATAAGATTGGATGGTTCTGCATAGAAAAGAGATGATAGTCATTTCACCTTTTAATTGAGGATAACTCTTCACACAAACCCAACAATCTTTGGTCAAGAGTTCAATTCTCTATATAATATTAGGCATTTAGGGGCTGCAGCCTATAACACCAAAAAGAATCCTCATAAAAGCGATAAAAACATTTAACACAACTTCTGGAGATATTAATAAAAGACTACCAAAATCAATTAAAATAAAGCAAATCCTTTTTTATTAGAATACGTCTGTAGATACCACTTGAAGTTAGATATATCAGAGGAAGTCATTAATAGGTTATAGTGGGTATTTTCAGGGTTGAATTTGGACATTTGTTTACTTTTGATTTTAAGTATTTGTTGTGGTTGGTGTGATGGAGTCATCTTCTAAATTAGTTATGAAAGCATAGTAATTTTATCACTTGTTGGAGTTTGATATTCCATTGGATGGAATTGAAAGCTTTTAGAGCTCCACGTCATCAAGGCTTTCTATTTCCCACTAGGCAAGAAATAAATTACAAAATTTTTAGAGATAAAGGAGCTTACCTGCGTTCGTTTTCTTTAAGCTATAATTTTTTTGGCTATTTCTAGGTGTGAACGTTCCCCCTTCTTTCATTTCTTTCATCTTTTCTTCTCTATTATCCAGTTGGAGAGCTTTTTTTTTTTTTAATCATTGATGGAATCGTTTCGGGGATCTTTTAGTGATGTGTGGTCTCTGATTAGATTGTTTTTTTTTTTTTTTTTTTTTTTTTT